CCTGGTTGCCCCACTTGGCGCCCGGCTGTGAGGCAGAGCATCGGAAACCATCAGAGGGGTTGAGGCAATCAGTGAAGATTAAAATATATAAAAAAAATAAATAGAAAACTAATTTTAAAAAATGAACCCCATCCCTCCCTCTCCATCCCTCTCCATTCCCATGTACTTACCCGATCGCCGCCGTTTCGCTGTTGGCGATCGGTGTTCTTCTTCACTGGGGGAACTGTCTCATAGCCCAGACAGTCCCCCTTCTGCAAATTAGGACACCCAGGTTCCGTGTGATCGCTCTGAAAGAGTGGTCACTTGGCCGCAATAGGCGTTCATATTGCTGCCAGCAGGGGTACTGCCTGAACTGACAGGCAGTCCCCCTGCTGGTAAAAAAAGTTTTAAAAAAATCATTTTAAAATAATAAAAATAAACTTAATAAATTTAAAAATAAATACAAAAATATATATATATCTTATCTATAACATCATACTAAGTATATTTTTATTAATATATACATATATTAATATAAAAATAAACTTAGAGTAAAATTACACACATATATATAATATATAATAACTATATATATATTGTATTTATAAATTATAAAAAATAAATAATTAATTAAACATTTTTTAAAAAAAGCAAACATGTAAAAAATATATATATAGAAACATAGAATGTGACGGCAGATAAGAACCATTCGGCCCATCTAGTCTGCCCAATTTTCTAAATACTTTCATTAGTCCCTAGCCTTATCTTATAGTTAGGATAGCCTTATGCCTATCCCACGCATGCTTAAACTCCTTTACTGTGTTAACCTCTACCACTTCAGCTGGAAGGCTATTCCATGCATCCACTACCCTCTCAGTAAAGTAATACTTCCTGATATTATTTTTAAACCTTTGTCCCTCTAATTTAAGACTATGTCCTCTTGTTGTGGTAGTTTTTCTTCTTTTAAATATAGTCTCCTCCTTTACTGTGTTGATTCCCTTTATATATTTAAATGTTTCTATCATATCCCCCCTGTCTCGTCTTTCCTCCAAGCTATACATGTTAAGATCCTTTAACCTTTCCTGGTAAGTTTTATCCCGCAATCCATGAACCAGTTTAGTAGCCCTTCTCTGAACCCTCTCTAAGGTATCAATATCCTTCTGAAGATACGGTCTCCAGTACTGTGTATAATACTCCAAGTGAGGTCTCACCAGTGTTCTGTACAATGGCATGAGCACTTCCCTCTTTCTACTGCTAATACCTCTCCTATACAACCAAGCATTCTGCTAGTATTTCCTGCTGCTCTATTACATTGTCTGCCTACCTTTAAGTCATCAGAAATAATCACCCCTAAATCCCTTTCCTCATATGTTGAGGTTAGAACTCTATCAAATATTCTGTACTCTGCCCTTGGGTTTTTACGTCCAAGATGCATTATCTTGCACTTATCCACATTAAATGTCAGTTGCCACAATATATATATATATACATACATATACAATATGTATAAAGAAAGGATGCACTCTCCGGTCTTTCAAACCGTAAAAAAAGTATTTAATCCATCAAAAGGTATACAATAATATGATCAGCGTTTCGACCCATTCGGGTCTTCCTCAAGATCAACATGTAACCATAAAAGCAAAATATATATAGGAAAAGTGTAGTGTACTCACCAATTGTGATAATCACCCTCCTCCCCTCAATCGAAACCCGGAAGTGTCTGCTGATTGTCATTTGTGATTTGCATGATGACGTGACTACGTTGAGCGTGCGTTATGACGTGAGCGTGGTTGTTAGGAAACCAGTGTATACAGTAAACGACCGGTCTAGAATAGCTCCGTGTAGAGTAAATGATAAACTCTGTGTGACTGTCTATTAGGGTATATACAAACGTGCTATATACAACGTGAAAATCACTGTGGAACAACAGGCTAACAAAGACACATAATTTCTTCTTGCTTTCAGTAACTCTAGCCATCAGTCTGTGCTAAGGAATGCGTTATGTAAACACAGCAAGGATGGGGGTGGAATACAAACCAGAGACAAGTATATACATATATATATTTGTGTTCGGGGCAAATAGCCGTATATGGAGTAAGGTTCCAGCATAAGCGTAGGATAGTATAAAGGGAGCAAGTCGGTTGTGGTGTGCCGAGACCGATGATACGGTAGGCCTGTAAATAAAGAGGGCCCACCAAGGAGTAAGTAAGTAAAGTAAATGAAAAGAAAAGAGAAAGTGTTGAAATGAGGAGTGGGTGGGAGGGTCATTCTGATGCTGACCTCAAGCGATATGAGTCAGGTAAGGGGTGTCCCTTATATAGGGGAGTGAATTAATTTAAGCCCCTCCCACAAATACAGGCCAAATGGCCTTAAAACTTGTGTTCGGGGCAAATAGCCGTATATGGAGTAAGGTTCCAGCATAAGCGTAGGATAGTATAAAGGGAGCAAGTCGGTTGTGGTGTGCCGAGACCGACGATACGTTAGGCCTGTAAATAAAGAGGGCAAAAAGAATAATCAAAGACTTAATACAGTCAACAATATATACAAATTAACCAGACATTTCCTTAAATGCATTACGGTATTTAATTCCTTGAAGAATTTTTGAAGGTAGGAATCTAGGACCGCAACTGGACACCATTTGTTGTGGGTAGGATAGTATGTTATCTCTACTGTTGGTGCGTGTTGACTCATTTCGGAATGTGGTAGAGCCAATAGGTAATGATATATGTGTTTACATACGTGGGATCGTTGAAGACAATGATCTGTCTGAGTGGTGGTTATGGTAGTGTATTCTCTGGCCTGAGAAAGGCATAAAAGGCAGTGTACATGGCTGGTAATGGCCAACTTGGTAGTATAATTGAATGGTTGTAGCTCTAATAGGTCCGATAAGGATGGAAAAGTTGGATGGCTATTGGTAATATCTGAGAGGAACGTGGGGGATGGATTCCTGAAAACCTCTGAGTATATTCTTGTCTGGTATGATAGCATGAAGTTATGGTAGTTTTGGCCATAGGTTATCCTGTGTTGTTGAATGCCTGTAAAATATATAATTAATGGTGTGTGAGATGGTTTTAGTTTAAGGTGGCAAAAAATGAAGCAAAACCTAGGAGAAATGTTATGACACAGGTTGAGCTATGTCGTGTTCCAATGAGATTCTTTAAAGCCAGGTGAATAGCTGTGTTATGCGTTCTACAAGTATGGGATGAAAGTGCCAGGGGGGATAGTGCATGCTATGCTGTATGAGTATGTCTAATCCATGATTTTGTCTCTGGAACGAAAGAGTGGCCGTGACTGTATGGGTGGCTGTAGGAAGCGTATGATGAACATGCCTGGAATATAAATGAGACAATTGTCGGCAGGGATGTATACCCCCGTCTGGTACATGAAAGTAAAATAAATGTGGTAAGTGGCCAACCAAGTGAGTTCCCCAGCAATACCATGATCGTATGGATGATGAGTGGCATTTGTTGATGATATGACATGTGCTTAGTTGTCTGAGTAACAATGGATTGATGACCCTGACCATGATTTACCCCATGCCACAGCAGTTGCTTTTAGCGGGGAAAGGATTGCCCATTTTATGCCATGTAAGTGCCAGTTTGTAGGGTAGATGGTAGCCGTTTACTGTGTTGATGATATTGGTCTTACTTAACGAAGCTTCAACCCATGCTTCAGTGATAGCTGTAAAGGTAGATCAATGGTGTGTATAGTATGGAAACTCCTCGGAGGGTATGAGGGAGTTGAGACTTGGGGTAGCGAAGGTGTGTGGTGCCAATAAGTCTATGGTTAGTCTTTGTTTAAGGGAAGATTCCCTTGTGACAATACCAATGTGTTTGTGTTTGGTGCCATGCTGTAAATGGTGGAGATTGGAAAACCCAAGTAAAAACCCCTCTGCAAGTCTTGGCTATGAGTGTGTTTACAGCCGACGGTTCTGTTGTGCTGACTGTAAGTGAGGGCATGCTATATTTCTTGAAGGTGTATTTATGATACCTGTATGGGAGCCCTTTGAAGCTCCAGAGCCTTAGTAAATCTACTACAAGTCTGGAAGGGTGATGAGTCAGTAGTGTTGAAAATGCATTGGTGTGTACAGATGGTGAGTACGTTATTTGTAAGTTGTATTGGGACACATGGTTTGTCATGTGCCCTGAATGATTTGAACATATATGCAACAGTCTATATGCAATGCAACTACTAATACCAATTGTCTCTGGTAGTTCAGAGGTGCTGGTACCTGGTGCTCGTCCGTTTGTTTGGGTACCTGCACAAATAAGCATCTCTACATATTCCAAATGCCAACACAACCAAGGGATGGTCAGTTCCCGATTTACCTAGAATCCCTGGGTCTGACCATCACAGATACATCATCATACATACATATGCCTTGTTTCCCCAATGTGCCGGGATCATATGTGCAGGGTTAACGTCTTGTACCAAGAATTGATTGTACCAGGTAACCGAGTTTCAGTTGGTGCTGGTTGTACAGTAGCGTGAGGCCCAGCCTTGTGAGGGCTGTGACTGACTCGAGATTGCCAGTCTGTCGTAAATTTTTTGGCTCATGAGTTTATGAGTGAGGCTAGCATGGCCTGGGTGTCACCTGAGTTGGTGTTGCTGGGCCTTCCCCTGCCTCCGTGTTGTCCGTTGATGTATGGAGGAGTTTGAATAACTCTGCTTTCCTTGCTGTGGCAGGGTAGGGGATTTGTCGCCTCCTTAGGTCGGAGCCACATCTCCTCTGCTTGAAGGTGTATCACTTCTAGCCGGGGTGCCAGGAAGAGGTGATTCTTCACCATCTTTTTGAGAAATACTTAAATAACAATAAAGATTGCAATTATTATTTGTACCTAGGGGTCTTGTACTGGCTTGCTAGCTAAGCCGTAAGGCAAAACGATTAGGCTTGGTGTTTTTGGTGACTGGTGAGGCCCTGCTAGTTGCCAAGTGGCTTGAGAGGCTCTATCTATGCTTGGCGCAAGGGGATTTTTTGTGGCCACCGAACGTTGTGGCAGGATGTTGGCCTCTCGGTGACAGTAACCAGAAAATAGGAAGGGGAGTGACAGATGAGGCCCTCTCTATGATACAATGCGAGGCGGCTAGCTCACGAGTGGCCCGAGGGGTGTATGCCTCCGAGTGTGAGGCGGGGTGTTGGCCTCGCGGGACCACTAACCGAAGCGTAAAGCAGAGAAAACAGGGGGTAATACCTATTGGGCCATAGAACCCTAATTGCCAGTACATTACTACTATTCCAGGGAAGGTAAGAGATGAAGGTGTATCACTTCTAGCCGTGGTGCTAGGAAGAGGTGATTCTTTACCATCTTTTTGAGAAATACTTAAATAACAATAAAGATTGCAATTATATATTTGTACCCAGGGTTCTTGTACCGGCTTGCTAGCTAAGCCGTAAGGCGAAACGATTAGGCTTGGAGTTTTTTTGGTGACTGGTGAGGCCCTGCTAGTTGCCAAGTGGCTTGAGAGGCTCTATCTATGCTTGGCGCGAGGGGATTTTGTGTGGCCACCGAACGTTGTGGCAGGATGTTGGCCTCTCGGTGACAGTAACCAGAAAAATAGGAAGGGGAGTGACAGGTGAGGCCCTCTCTATGATACAATGCGAGGCGGCTAGCTCACGAGTGGCCCGAGGGGTGTATGCCTCCGAGTGTGAGGCGGGGTGTTGGCCTCGCGGGACCACTAACCGAAGCATAATGCAGAGAAAAAAGGGGGTAATACCTATTGGGCCCTAGAACCCTAATTGCCAGTACACTATTACTATTCCAGGGAAGGTAAGAGATGGATAACTACGTGAGCAGGTGTACGTACCTGGTAGTATGGTATTGAACCTGACAATCCGTATAGGTTTTTTAGTAGTAACTGTAACCTGAATGGATAAAATCGTATGGCATAAGGAAATATGGCATAGACCAAGCTTATCTTAAAACATACAGTATATGTGAAAGTAAAGTGCTGTGATATGTAAATATTAAACATCATATCCATACTGGTTAAATATGTATCAATCTTAACCCATTAAGTGCCGTATGTATGTGAACCATATTACCAGTTACGTATATACAGATGCGTGTGCTACTGTGTAATAATATGTGTATTTATAACAGATATTGATATACTGCTTGCTATGTGAATTGTTGTATGCCTTATTGAATGGTCAGTGAACATGGTGTTGCAAAATGCAAGTGCACTGGAGATCTGCCGAGTGCCCTATAGGTGGCAGTGTAGTTGATACTGATTGGTATGTGAAATGTTGTTTGTCTGTTGACCTATAGGGGTCAGTGTTTTGGTGTTTGTAAAGCCCCATGAAAATTGTCAATGTAATTGACAGACCTGTAGGTGGCAGTGTTGATGGAACCACTGTTGGTCTTAATGTGAAATGTAAATTATTGTGACTTAAACCTGAAGTTGAGCCCCTGTTGGAGTTTAATTTATGGTTTATGGTTATGTTTAAAACAATCTTATGTGTAATTTATATTGGCTGGTAATTGTATATGACATGTGAAGACAGTTTTGCTGTTGACCAGTAGGGGTCAGAAATGCTGATTGTATGGTAAAATACCCTTTAACCCCTGAAGGATCATGACATGTGTGACATATCATGATTCCCTTTTATTCCAGAGTTTGGTCCTTAAGGGGATAATCCAAATGCAAGGTTAACGTGAGATTTTGAGAGTGACCTGTAGGAGTCAGTGTGGTTTATGTGAAACATTGTTTGTGAGCTATGCCCCAGCCTTATAGTTGTGTGACAGGGAAACTAACAGTGCCCGTTTGACAATATACAATAAGTGAACATAATAGCTTAATAACAGTCATTGTAACAAACCAAAGTTCTGTTTATGGGTTGTAAACGCACGAAGCGTGTGTGTAGTACAATAGTAAATGCATGAACTAGTTCCCGTTTGGTAGAAAATTGCACGAACCGTGAGCCTGGTATGTCAGGGAAACAAAACGAAACGAGCAGTGAGATTCGAAATGCACGCCCAGAATTGCCTAGTATGTTTAGGCAATTGAAACAGAATGTGTTCCCGTTTGGGAGTATGCTAATGCTCGAAATGAGCCAGTGACAGATATAAACAAGTGAATTTAAACGAATGATATGCATGTGTAACGGCTACCCTGGTAGAGAGAGGGTATCGGCCGTTGGAGACGTCCTTTTCCCCTGCAAGTTGCTGTGGAGAAGTAAGCTGGTATAATCCCATTCACGATATCCAGAGTAAAAGTCAGGTTCAGCTGTAGCAGGAGCAGAATAACATTCCCAAATAATCCCCTTCCAAGAACGAGACAAGGCTACGTTTTGCAGGGTCAAGAAGATCTGAGGTCTGGGAGAACCAGCCTGCTTTTTATTAGGAACAAGTACACACAGGACACTCCCAGGGGGAGGATGAAAATAACCAATTACACACAGGGTAACACCCCCACGTCTCCTCCCCTCAGATAAACATATAACATAATTATAACGTACATAAATTTACCCACATTCTGGATGTACCCCAAAAACAGGGGGTACACCTTTAAGTCCAGCACCGCTTAATAGCTACCACTCAGGGGAATAACATATTCAAATTTCACGTCATTCGGTTGTGGGGTTCGGGAGTTATGGGTCTTTGAAGTTTTGACCGACCGCACAGGATTTTCAGCCGAAAAGAGTTCCACAAGTTTTGGCCTTGCGGTCGGTCCCCGTTCGTGAATAAAAACCCCACGAACCCCTTGCCCTCCACAGTAATCCTGCCGTTCGCCTGAATCCCCATGCATGCTTAAACAAAACTACCGAACGGCCGGTCGTTCGGTAGTTTCAGCACGAACTTACGAGCTCCTGGAGGTCTCAGCGGCGTTCGCCTGTTTGCGCATCCGTTTTTAGTTCCATGAGTTCACAGGCAAACACCGCCGTTCGTGCGTAAGATGGCCGCGAACACGTGTAAAGTCCCGAAATGGCGGCCACCTATTCTCAGACAAAGGGATTCGTCTGAACCAGGCGAACGGCTGTATTCTCCAGTAATGGTATTCCCTTGCAATAATTTCGCCATTTTCACTGTTTTAGTCCACAGGGCTTTGGTGCTGGTGAAGTCCTGTTACAGCATGAACATGCAATGGTTTTAGGACAGATTTAGACAAAATTCAGCCGTAAAGTGTGGACCTGACCCGTGCCTGGTGCCATGGGACTGATGCCTGGCGTAACGGGTAGGTAGACTTACGGTTTGTGAGTCACTTGGACACCATCCACAGCGATAGATTGAAGAAAGAATGTGGAAGGCCGGAAAAGCCTGTGGCTGAATTCCTGAAACAGCTCAGCTTAGAAAACTTCATGGAGTAATCAGGTAAAATGGCGTCTGGATGACCCGGAAGTGGAAATCATTCTGATGCTGACCTCAAGCGATATGAGTCAGGTAAGGGGTGTCCCTTATATAGGGGAGTGAATTAATTTAAGCCCCTCCCACAAATACAGGCCAAATGGCCTTAAAACATATATATATATATATATATATATATATATATATATATATATATATATATATATATATATATATATATATATATATATATATATATATATACACACACATCTAACTACTATATACTTACTTTACTATTATATTAATTGCATATAATCAGTATTATGTT